CTTTTTAAAAATTAAGTATTATAGGGATGGGTGTGAAAGCAAATAGAATTTGATATTTCTGTTTTTCCACAATGTAGTAACTGAATTTATTTATAATGTTTTTCTGGAAAAACATATATATTTTAAATGAATACGGTATGCAATAAAATACGCAGTAAAAAAAATCAAATTATTTTTTAATATCAGGGATCATTTAAGATACAAATTTCCTTAGGAGTATATTTCAATTTTAATGTTACTTGATAGTTCAAAACGAAGGCATATTTTTAACTAACATTCATTTTTAATCTCCTTAGGGTCCACTTTTATTTGTAACACTCACATAATTCCAGTGAAAAACCAAGAGGGCGTGGCTATGATGTTCATCATTAATTTTGAATATGTGACGGATGAAAATGCTGCCACCCCAGAGAGGGTAAACCCAATATTACCAGTCAAAACTGTAAACCGTAAGTAAAAGGCAATGTGTACTCAATGCTGTTGATAATTCTGCTACTGTAGTCACTTTAACAGTCTTCATATCAGTTCAGTTCTCAAAATATCTTTATATTTGAAGTAAAATAATTTTACATGAGTAAGCCATTAGCTCATGTTACCTTTTGCCTTCCAGAATTTATTGGCTGCTCTGGAAGCCATTTAACTTGGATATAATATAATGTATTTAACCAGTCCCCTGACACCTGATGGACATTTAGGTTGTTTTCAGACTTTGTCTATTACAAATAATGCCAGAATAAATTCTGCTTATGTATTTTCATGTGTATATTATTGGACAAATGTATCTTCAGGGTCCTTTAAGTGGGGTTCCTGGGTCAAGGGTGATGCATATATAATCTTTTCAGGTATTGTCAAATTCTCCTCCACGTGCTTTAAACCATTTTACACTACCAGCAGCCATGAATTAGCATTTTTCCCCAAAACTATGCCGACAAAGAGAGTCAGAATCAGTTTTCTCAACAATTGTCATCATCATAAGTGAGAACTAGCACCTCAATTCGTTTTAGTTTATATTTATTCTATGAGTAAGGTTCATATATTTAAGCACAAAGGACATTTCTTTATCAACTGTTCATTTCTTTTATACATTTTGGTTGTTTTTTTCTCTATCTTGTCAATTTGTAAAGTAAGCTGCAAATAGCTCACCTAGAAAATAGTGTGTCTTTTATCTTTTTCATAATTTTTATTTAAAGGGATTTTTGGTAATGTGTCTAAATTTATAACTCTTTCCTTTGTTGCATCTGAATTTTTGAGACATAATTAGAAAAGCTTTAACCACTCCAAGGTTCTAAATAAATCACTTCCTTTCCCCGGAACTTGTATGATTTCATTTTTTAGGATCTCTGATGCATTGTAAGCTTATTTTGGTGTATAGTGCAGGGTATACAGTTAATTTATCTTTTTCTCAATGGCTCATTCATTGTTCTAACATTATTTATTAAAAAGTCTATCTGTTCAACAGTAATTTAAGATGCCACCTTTATTATACACTAAACTTCCATATGTGCTTGAATCTACTCCTGGATTTTCTATTCTGTTCTGTTGGTTTATCTCTCCCTCAGAATCATACAGTTTATATATATAATAAATAACTAATATAGCATGATTCCTTATTATTTGATATTAATTTTCAGAAAGTTGAGGTTATTTTTTGATTAATTTTCCACGTGAACTTTAGAAAAAAGTTTTCTACAGCTAGAAAAAAAATGTAATATTTTTATTGGATTCACATTAATTGTATAAGTTAACTTGAAGATAACTGATGTCTCTGTAATATTGTCATTCTATTCAAAAATATATAGTACGTATTTTTATTTTCTAAGTCTAATTTTTGTGTCTTTCAGGAATTTCTTAAAATTCTCCTCACTTGTTTACTTTGCTCTTTGGCATTTAACTTTTGTTGTTGCTGCTATTATGAATGGGACTTTTTTTCCCCATTGTATTTTCTTATAAAAGTAACTTTTCTTTCTGAATACATTAAATTTACATCCAACTATCTTTAGTTAATTCTTATTTTACAGTGACTTATACTTTGACTTTTATGAATTTTTCAAATATTCTATCACATAAAATATAAATTGTTTTATATTTCCTTTCCAATTCTTGTACATCTCATAGTTTTCTCTTGTTAAAATGTGCTGGCTATTACCTCCAAGGTATCATTAAAAAGAAATCAACAGTGAACACTACGCCTGGCTCTGGTTGTTGTGCGAATGCCTTTAATTCAAACATTCCTCATTAATTGAAATAATGACATGTGAGTTGAGTTGTGTGTGCTTTATAATTTTAAGAAAGTTTCCACTGACTTAATTTTTTCAGAATGGGTGCTGAAATTTGTATAATGCCTTTTTTAGCCTCTGTGGAAATGAGTGTATTATTTTTTTCCTTATTTTTTAATACATTTTATAAATGAAGTTACTGATATAAACCATTCTTGCATCCCTGGAAGAAGTCACATTTGGACATGTTATATTTCATTTTGTAATACATTGTTGGGTTTTCTTAACTCAAATTAATTTTTCGGTTTGTGTCAATATCCAATAGGCAGAGTGATCTATAATTTTTGCCTGCATATGTGCAATTTTCTGAGGTGTTGGTATCAATATTATAATTCCTTCAAAAAATAATTGCGAGTTTCTTCCCCTTTTTGTATGCTATTGAAGCATTTAAATAGCTTAAGGATTATCTAGACTTTAAAAGTTCGGTGTGACTCCCCTGTAAAGTCATCGAGGTACTTATTTGTGGTACTTGTTTGTGAAGTAGCTCCTTGACAAATTTATTTTTCTTCTTTAATAATGGTCTACTCAAATTATCAATCTTAACTAGGTTCAGTTTTGCTAGACATTATTTCCCTAGAAATTATTTCATGTAAATATGTAAATTTTGTTTTAATAGAATTATGCAAAGTAGTATTTTATGATTTTTTAAAATCCTCTGTTCCTATAGGTTTTTTTTCTTGAAATTTCTCATTTATTTTATTATTGTTTTTTCCATTTAAAATTGATTAGTTAGTAGCTTTTTCCCCAAAGACCTAATTTTTTATTGGTTTTTTAATTCTATTAGTTTTCAAACTCACAAAATTTTGCTTTTATGTTTCTTAAATCAGTTTTTATCAGCTTACTTTGTTGCCTCTTTTTTATTACATTGATTTATTTTCACTCAGTTTTTGGCATATGATTTTAGGCTATATATTTTTATCTAAGCACTGTGTAAGCTATACCCCACGAATTTAGAAATGTAATATTATTTTTCCTAGAAAAAATGCAACTTTTGTTTTCCTAGGTTTTAACTTGAGTTGTTTAATATAGATAGTTTTTAGTTTTCCAGTCAGAAAAGTATTTTTAAAGTATTATTTTTTGTTAAAAACTTCTGGTTTCATTGTCTTACAGTCATAAAATCCTGTTTGTATTATTTCTCTTTTTGTAATTGTCTAAAATTTGCCCGTGGTTTATTATTTGATCAATTTTCATGATTATGTCACGTGAATATGAAAAGAAAGTGATATTGCAAAATATCAAGCTACAAAAGTTGATATCTACTTTATAAAACTCTGCCTTATTATTATGCTGTCTTCTACATCCTTACTTATTTCCTGTCCTCCAGATATGTCTTGGATTTAAGAAAGTGTATTAAAGTCTTCTACTGTTAGGATATTTCTTGGTATTTGTCATTCTGTCTCTTGCAATTTCTGTTTTATGAATATTGCTGCTCTTGTTTATTTCATAGATGGCCACATATCTTACGTTATTAGTATAAATTAGAATTTAGCATTACAAAGTATCTTATTTTTTGTTTACTAATGTTCCACCTAAATTCTACTGTATCTTAAATCATGACACTTGAGTCTTTTCTTTTTTCCATTTCCTTGCTGTATTTTAAAGTCATCTTTTAGTCATTTCCCTTTGTTTTGGTTGTGTCTTTTTTATACAGTGTGCGGTTTTTATGCAGTGTGAAGCTTTTCTTTATTGCTTATAAGAAAATAAAACTCACACTTTAAATGATTATAACTACAATAGGTATTTACATTTATTGATGCAATTGATATGTTTGTTTTCTTGGTACTAACATATTCTATGTTAAATATACTCTCTTGAAGTATTTCATTATGTTATCTTTTCTTTGCCCTTTTAAAAACTGGTTTTTGTTGTGGTTTTATTCTGGTTTGGGTGACTTTTTGGTATTTGGGAAAATTTATATTGTTTTCCAATAGTTATCTTTGTAAGAAAATGTTATGTGTTCTCCTTAACTCTTTCCTGTCTTCCTCAGTCAGTATATTTTGTTCCCTACTTTGAGCAGAAATAAAATTATTATGGCAAAAACCTCAATTACTTTTGCACCAACGTACTAGCTTATAATCCTTTTCTTCTTCTTCCTACCATGCAGTTTTCATCAACAATATTCTATTTCTTAAGGCTCATCTTTGTGCTCCTGAGTATCCTTAGTCTCCTGCCATTCAGTGTGTCAGTTTAAAACAACATCACTTGACTCTCATCTGTTACCAGGAAGGCCCTCAGTGAGCTTGTCTATTTTCTTCTCCTCTGCCTCCCATTTTGCTGGGATATGATATTTCTAGCTTGTCAAGTAGGTAATGTGTATATACTTCCTACATTTCTTTTGGCCTCAAATATCTAGTGAAATGTATTCATGACTGTCGTTTTGTCAGAGATTCCCCAAACACAGCTTCTTAGATGAAGTATATCCCCTTTGGGAAACGTGTGGGGGTAAAATATTTTCAGAGTTCTGTCGTGTTTAACATGTTTTTATATCACTTTGACATTTGAAGGAGAGCCTAGGTAGATATGACATAGTATTTGGTCCATATTCTATGCCTTCTGACTCTGGTAGATATTGTTTCATTCTTTTCTTACATCAACTGTTGCTGACAAACAGTCTGATGCCAACCTGCTTGACTGTCCATTGTAAGTGACTCGGGCATCCGGGTCTTGTGCACTTTTTAAGCCCCTTCTATTGTCTCTCCAGGAACTGGTGCTCATGTTACAGACCTGATCTTGAGATTTCATACTCAGTGTGAGGCCCTCTTCTGCTGAAGGTGAACTCTGTTTAATAAGTGTTCCCTCACTCCAGGGAGACTTCTGTACTCCTCTTTTCTTCATTTAGTTTCACCTTGACTCTCTATTGCAGTGTGCTCTTCTGAGCCAATTTTGCTGGTATTAGCAAATCCCCCACCTACGTGTAAATAAAAGTCTATAAGTTGTCTTTCTCTAGTTACTCCATAGGTGTGGTTTATGGGTACTTTTATTTGACTCCTCCTTTATTAAATCTCAAAGGTTTATATCGGGGTCCATGAGGATTTGGTAATTTAGGTATCTGTCATTATCTATGGGAAGCTGGAAGCCTTATCACAAAACTTTAATATTTGAGAAAGGAAATTGTTACGCTGTGTATAAATTAAGATAGAAAAATATGCGTATAATGAAAAACATGTTCCCAAAAACCAATTTTGTAAACCTAAGTATAATACCAAATCAAACATACCTCAGCTGATAATTTTTCATAATAGCAATTTTTTCCTTATATATGTCTAAATGACAGTACAATATTCTTTTAAAGCAATATTGGCACAAATATATTAATGTAATGTGATTCTAGTATTCTAAATGTTTTACCCTGAACAGTATTACACTTGGAGAAAACTCTATCAGAATCGCTAATTCATCAGTCTTCCAGATGACGTATTTAGAAAAAAATTGAGCTACCGTAAAATACTATTCTTACCCCCAAAGTCTTGATCCCAAAGTTGATGACTGTTTTGATTTTCTTATACTTTCCACGAACAAATGCAATCATTAATGAATGATTCCTGGGAGTACATTTCTAATGTCAACCTCTATTTCTGTCATGAATACCAATAATGTAATTTGTTTAGATGGTAGATACCTAGTTTAGTTTCTTCACTGTCTTCTCAAATTCTTATATTTTCCCACAGAATAGTTGTATTTCATGGTCCATCAAATTGGATGGAAGTGAAAAAAGAAGGGTACATCAGCAACATGGCAGAGAAGGGGACTTTTAAAAAAGATAATGTGTCTATTTAAAACTGAAATGTAAATGGAGAATTGAAACCTTGATTTCCTAAATGGAAGATAGTCTTTACAGTAGCCTCTGGGATATCATACACAATTTATGCAACTTTATATTGTGATTAAAATAAAGTCTTATGTACAAGTTATAACAAATGCAATAGAGATTCTGCTTCTTATTTTGTGAACCTAAGTGGTTTCCCTATGCTTTAGCCGTCACTCATACAGGGAATCATTGGAGAGAGTACAAATATGCAGATAAAATTATTCCAGAGCATTACAAAGGCCCATTATTTACCACCTGTATATCGGTTTTGATTACACCCTTCCGTCATTATATGACCTAGATTTCCTTTTACTTGGTGTCAGTGTTTGAAGAATGGATTGTTAAATCAAGCAGAAAAGTTAGAGAGAGACAAATTATGCTTTGTACCTTCTGATACTATCCAATTTCTACTTCATATTTTTTCTCATCTTTGGCAAACCCCTGCTGATATTTTTTCTTTGAAGTATAATGTTACTACCAGTGTAAAATAATGATATTGGCTATTTCAAACACTGTTGTTCCCCAGTGATAGCCACTTTTAAAAAAATAAAGAATAAAAAAATCTGATGCATCTATTTTAGCAGACACGTCTTACCTTCAAAATTGTAATATTATTACTTCAAAACCTACACTGTAACTACCAGCTTCTGTATCACTTGAAATGATCTTAAATAAAAATGTGGTTACAAAGAAGTATACAGTGGTATTCACAAAGGCAAATTTTAAACTGGCATTTCCCTTTAACCAATGCTTACTCTCTTACCAAAGTGTTTGTGATTGTGTGTGTGTGTGTGTGCACGTGCGTGTCTCAGAGTGGTAGGATTTCAGTGAGAGTAATAAGAAAAAGGTTGTTGTGTGTTTGGGAAGATGTGACTTTCTGAAAATTTAAATACCTCTATTGAAATAGAGGCAAAATAAAGGAAAAGATGTGACATGACTACACAAGAAGCATAGCTTCAAAAAAAGGGAGGTATTAAATTATGAAGATTAAGTAAAAGAAAAGGAGGTAAATACACAGTAGAAAATTTGGATTATAAAAAGGCATTATGATACATTGGGCTCCATATATTCTGAAAACTGAGAGACTTATTTTCTATTGAATTAAGTGGTGGATCATTTCTCATGCAAATACCTAGTTTCAGAGCCAGGAACTCTACGCAAAAAAAGTGAGCAGTTTTCTCTGAGAAGACCTAATTTTTCACAAACTTATTATCTGTAGAAGACATGGAATTAGCCACAATTAGATGACTTATGTCCCCTGAAATGAAGCAAATACAGAAGAAAGTGTTATGTTGATAAATCTTATCAAATTTTGATAAGTACTGAATAATTTGAGCCAATTAATTGCTACACAATAGATATAAATACCAAATAAAAGATGAAATTGAACACTTTCTCACCGAAGTCTTCTGTAAAAAGTTTGCAATCTAATAAATAGAAATAATACAGAGTGAAAGAGAAAATTGTGTATTCCTTACCAAGCATAAGGGGCCACATTTAAAGGAGCCAATAGTAATGGAAAAGTGTGCTCTCTTCTTTTCAGCCGTAATATTTGATGATGTCGAATACTTGTGAAAAATGGAGGAGAAACAAATTATGCGTTCTTGTTTACGTGATTAATGCCTGAGTTAACTGTCATCAAGTATAAGAGGTTTTCACTTTTACTGTTTTAGATAAATTATTTTTGTTTCATTTTAAATTATTGAAAACTACATTTGAATTTCATATGTCTTCTGTAGCATTAATCTAGTATCATACTCTGATTCACACACAGATACATGCACACTTTTTAATTTTCTAAACATTTCTTGAAGGGATTGGGGGAACCTAAATTAAACAAAAAGTGGTACTTAAGTTGGATTCCCTTCTTTTACATTCCATGTCACCACATTCCCTTGAGTCTTTCCACGTCTGTAACAGCTATTTCAGTACCATTTGCTTGTTTCTCTTACTCTACTCTTAAAAGCTGTTTGTTTCTCCCCTGGGAGCTGCTTTTAATATTCCTTCCTTCTTAGTCATCTCTATATACCCTGCTTGGGCAACCTCATCCTTTACTTACAGGATAAAGACCTTCTCACAAATCAGTATCTCCAGCTCATTATCTTTCTTTAGCCTTACTTACAACCTCATATATCCCACTAGACATGTCATTTAGATTTTAGTATTTCTGGGTGATTTAGCATTTCAAGCTAAGAACTGCCTTTCCATCCTCAGCTACCATCCATTTCATCCCAACAAAAAACTGTTCCTTTTCATAAATTATGAATAGAATCATTATCCAAAGCTCCCAAGCCAGAAACCTGGGCATGATACTAAACTTCTCCTTCTATCTAATCCTCTATTTTCCCAACCAAAGGTTAGCCAAAGTCTATGAAACACATCTCTTAACTATCTCTCTCACATAGCCCGCTATAATTGTCCTACTCAGACCCTCAACACATGTTTCTTGGACTGATATAATAGTCTCATAATAGGTATTCCTGCTTTAAGCTTCTTTTCTTCAGGATTACATGTTATATTGCTGTACATCACATCATAATCCTCCACTGTCTATGTCTTTTACAATTGTCCTCTATTGCCTAAAATATAAGACTCCAAAGCCCTGTGCATGCATAATACAATCAATCTATCATGATATAGCTTCTGATACTTCTTCAGTCTAATTTCCCATCACATCCCATATTTTAATGGGGATTCCTTGAAACTACCATTCACTTTATGCCACCTAATTTGTATCATGTGGTGTCCCCTATACTAAAATGCTTTCCTCCTTCTAGCATACCTATTCCAAAGGACTCTTCATCTGTGGCAGATGCTTAATTCGCCCACATGGGTCCACATGTTCCTGCCCCTGTGACATCATAATACCTCATACCTGTCTCCACTACCACATTGGTCACATCTGTTTGCTTAGTAAACAAGTAACATGAATGAAGAAGGCCAGGAGTAAAAAAATAGAGAGAGAAGTGAGGACTGGAAAACTGGAGAACATCTTTATCTTATTCGAAGTGGCCCATAACCCTACAGCTCTACTTCATAGCAGGGACATTTTATTTTCTTTCATATAGACTTAATATTTTGCAAATAGTAAGTATCCAGTACATATTTGTAGAAGACATAAAAAGTTTTTTTTTCATTTAATAATTAAGCTACTTTTTTCCTACTGAATGGGCATTACTCAGATTGCCTATCAGTGGTTCTTCAAGTGTGAGACCATCAACGTCACCTTGCAATGTGTTTGAAATGCAAGTTCTTGGGCCCTACACCAGAACAACTGATTCAGAAACTCAGAAATTCACCAAGCTGTGTTTTAACAAACACTTCAAGTCATTCTGATGCCCAAGAAAGTTTGAAAACCATGGTCTAGGTTAACGAATGTTTAGATAGAACTATAAAAATAATTTTAAGTGAAAATAAATGTAAAAAAAAAAAACCCTGAAATTTCTGAAGCATCTTATAGTATTTTTTTACAGTGTACTTTTTCATTTAATCTTATTAAAGTACTATAAAGGACATCCATTATTTTTGAAAAGATTAAAATTACACTTTCCAAATCAAAGATAATTTTACTTTTACGCTTGCTAAAATTTTGAATTATTCTAAAAGCTTCAACTGAAGCTAAACCTATCCACACAAAATATAATTGATAATTTAGGCAATTATCTAGCTAATTTAAGCCACTAAAATTTTATTCATATGCTTTGGACTCAATACTCTGGATAATTGACACGTAAAATACACATTTGCCTCAATAGCTACATTACTCCCACAAATTTGTATCTCAGTTTTTAGACCTCAAGCTAAGGAACAAAGAAATTTTCCATGGAGCTGGTTTATAAAAGTGCTTTTACAGTGTTTTTACTATTCTCCACTGGAGCTGAAAGTCATTCTTTAATTTGAAGATGAAGAGCTGCAATAGTAATATAGAGTTTCCCATTCAGTAAGCATTACTATAGAAACAATCTGTTATTCAGATGAATTTAATTAAAGGTTTTACACTGTAACTAATGTTTACTATTCTCCTGTATTTTGAAGTTTCCTCTTTTTAAAGATTAAATTTGATGTAAAAGGAAACATGACATGGTTGCAAAAAACAAATCTGAGGAAAGTTTAGTCATAGTTGCAATAAATTTTATGTCATGTGCCTTTCCCAGCCCCCGGGATTTGAACAAAGTGTCTATTTCTAAGGTCAAGAAAATTGCTAGTAGTTGAAAAAAATACATTATTTCCTCATTAACAATGGATGTTAATGAATGCCCAAATTGGTATATCCACATCAGAGAGCCCCCATGTGAGTATAATTTGGAAAATTTTGTTACCTAGCAACACCCAATCAGGGGCAGTCCCTATTCATACAGCATTTGGGTAACTGGTGTCTGTACCATTTGTGTTTGGAAAAGTCCATCAAGAGAGTATCTGTTTATGTGATGACTACATGATCATCCATGCTCAATTTTGGTTAAGACGTTATCACTTTCACAGGACTTGAATGGACTTTTTAATTTGACATTTACAAACAGAAGGAATCTATCAAAAAGAAAGTATGGGTATTGCATGCATTGATTTACTAAGCTGTTATTTTAAGCGCAGAGAAACTTAATTAGGTGTATATTATGCTGCTGTGTTTGCTTTCATTCCCAATCCCCTCTCACTGAGAGATTTTAACCCTAAGAGGCTGAAAGCAGTCCACCACTTTGTCCTGTCTTCTGCCCTATCCCCCTTATCCAAATTCATGTTTCTTGCTTCTTTGCTCTCGTGATGACCCAGCCAGATCACAAGCTGTGTCCCTCAGATATCGTCAACATTTGTGAACATGTTTACGGGAGTGCTCTGTTGCTGCTGCAGCTCCTGTAATTGTTCTCATGCCTTGCTACAGCACTGACTCCTCCAACCTCCACTTACTGCCTTTAACTCACATAACTTACAGATTCCAATTAGACCTCATCCTTACTGCTCACTGTAAGATCTTGCTTTTTTCTCTGGTATCTAATACCCTAGGAAATGTCACAGGATTCTTAGCCTTTCATGGCATTACCGATCTGATCTGCTCCTTTAGAGAACCTTGTATCTAGCTTCAAGTTTATTAGGTCAGTAGACTCCCTGGTGATCTTTTGTTATCGCTGACACTAGGCCTGCTCTGGCTACAGTGGAACATTTGTCACCCACTAATCAGGGTAGCCACTTGGCTAAAATTGAGTTCACATTGAATGATAATCTTTCCCAGTCTAGTATCTACATCCTTCTTTGACAATATTCTGAGTTGTTCTACCAGCTCATAGGCAATGTTATATACCTTCCTACATATGTAGGAGTAGGAGAGACTCATGTCCTTGCAGGATCCCTCTATGAAAATTTTCTTCCAAAAAAGAAAAAGGCAGCTATGTTAGTCATTATCTCTGTTTATCCCACCAAATTCGATTTTCTTCTCTCTCTGATTCAGGAGTTAAAGTCGTGTTTCTCTGCAAATCCAGGGTTATGTGGTTGGAGAAAATTCTCACACTGATTTTAAGGCTTCAGATTTAATGTCAGGCTTGTAAGTACTCTGACATTAGAAAGGTACACAGATACCAATTCACACATCCTTATTTTGTGTGATAATAGGGGACTGTAGGCTTAATTCAGATCATATTTTTTCAGGCCAAAAGATGGCTACATTTCTCTCTCTGTACTGGACGCTGTGGCCCTAAGCCCAGACATCTTCCTTAGGGCTGAGACAGCCCAGCTGCTGGAAATATCAGCTGTTCCAGATACACTGCTACCCCTCCCTAGAAATTGTGGTCTAAGGCAGGAAACTACCTTACCCAGCATTATGGCCTTTCCCATGGTGTGGCTTTACCAGTGACTGGTAGATACAGGGAAGCAAAGGCCAGGTACTCTGACTTCAATTTGGCAGAACTCTGAAGGGCATATCCCTGCATTTGAGCTCCAGGAGGATTGGCCGAAGCTTCAGCTGCATATGAAAAGCAGTTTAACTTTCTCTTCTTAATCCTGCCTTTTTAATAGACATAACATAATAGACATGAGAGTACTCCCTCAATAAGCCTTTTCACAATCTACTCTCAGGAATCCAATTTAAGATACCCTCCCACCACCCCAACCCTTTGTGAGGGGACAGATCTCTGCTTATGGCCTTTACAACAAACCTCACTTTACTCCCCACACAGATCCTCTCCTGTTTCACCATGGTCTCTAATTTGCTTGACTACTTGAACTTAAGTTTCTCTCTACTTTTCAGTCCATACTTCAACCTAGCAGAACCAAGCAGGAATAAACTGCTTCTAATTATATTTAATTGGGTTTTTGCAGTAAAAATATGACATAATCAAGGTTCTAAGAATTTATAGAAATGATGAAAAATTGAATGAAGGAAATGATTGGAAACTTGCCATTGTGTTGTGAGAAAAATCAATGATTGAAAATAGATGGAGAATTCTGCAGATATTTTTTGTTTTTCCACAAGAAAATTATTGTTTCTAATATCCCTAAATGTAGTCTTAAGTTAGAAGAATTGCTTGAAGTCAAAAATGGGTGTAATAGTTTACTTCCAAACTGTAATAGATGAGAATCAATTCACACAGGAAAGAAGTGGGGAGAGAGAGAAATAGGGAGAGGGAGAGAATAATAGCAGCAGATTGATGCGGTCTTCTCAAATTGGAAAAGTTTAGTAAAGCCAATTTCTAAAACCCCATTACCACAGGAGATAGGTTATAAGTGTAGTTGTGATCATTATAATTTTATGAGAAATGTGACTAGCACAAATATGTCAGCAAATAAATTTAAAACTAAAAGGAATATAAAGAATCAACGAATCCTGGGGATCTTAGGGGAGGTCAATGTTGAAGGGCTTTAGTTGGAGAAGGGGAGTTAGTTACTCAACTTCTGAAATCATAAGCAAAATTGTGTGTATGCATTTATCTACATTTATTTCAAAGAGAAATCAGGATTTTCATTAGATTCTCATGTGGCTATTTATGACCCAAGAAAACACCAAACCTTGGGTAAAACTAAAATTAAATCAAGGAAACTGCTGTTTTATGCTAACCTGACATGAATTTTCTATATGAATTTGGCAAAATATTTAACATTTTTGCATGTGTACATTAAAGTTATAATTATAGACTTTTCACAGAGAAAGATGACGGGAATATCTGTGTTTTCTTGGTTGAGAACTACAAAGTTGTCAGTTATATATGACAGGATTGATGAAGATGCGCCCTCCAAATTTATATTCAGCATCTTCACAAAAATGACATGTCCTGAGAAAGACATTATACTAGTAGTTAATTGTAACTACTATAATTATATTCATGTATATTAACAACTGTATGCCTTCTTAGATGAAAAGGATGTGTTTAAACAAAATTATAATCATGTAAGTCATTTACCAGTACTTGTAATTCTTTCTGGAAATGTGTAAAAATGTGTGCAAAACCTTTTTCTGTTTCTCTTATTTCACATTTATTGAGCATTATAGTAAATAGGTTAAATAGTATCTATTTTAATTATTCAAATTAGAAATCAAATATAATAAAATCTGAAGACTTAACTTGCACGGATGTTTTTCAGTGTTAAGATCCATAACAGGATTACACTCATCTACGTTTTATATTTCATGCCTGAAAGTGCTAGCATTGAGCAAAATTCTCAATGTGCATTCTTTCCGCATGAACTACAGTTAGACAACTAAATCTGTAATGCAATATAACATGGTCCTATTAACCTAGTGATGCAGAAAAGACCATCTGTACCACACTGGATATGACTAAACTATAGGAATGAACTAAATGCCTATGTGGTCATTAATTTAAGAAAGCCAGTGAATTGTTTTTTAAAGGAGGAGTGTGA